AATTTAATCATATATTTTACTAAAAGAGAAAATTAATAAAACTATCCTTAAATTATTTAAGAGTGTTATTTTAGCCTCACACTAAATGTTGTGTCTAATTTAGTCCCTTTAACCATTCACTCCTTTAATTAGATAGAAAATTATCCCTTAACTTTCCAATTCTGATCCAAAATAATTTAATAGAGTAAATTATTTTGTATTATTTAGACTAAATTGAATGTTTTAGATAACTATGACTAAAATGACTCCTACAAATGGTTTAGGGGCCATTTTGACATTTTATCTTCATTAAAATTAACAAGGCTTCAATAATTTTACGTTATATTGCATTTGTAGCACTAAATTACTCTAATAAAGATGAGCATTTAATATTAAGGTAATGGTTTTTCATTCCCATTCTTTCACAACCATGATGTTGAACCCTAAATTTTGATAAAATTATTTGGGTCAAACCAGCCATGAAATTATAATACGCCAACTCTATTAGATTTATTGAACAAAATGCTATAAAATGGTATATTATGTTATATATTTGATACTTCATTCAGGTTGTTGTTAGTCACTTTTATTAGACATAAGTGGCTATCAAACTTAATAGAGTCAATTTGGTCAATTTATCAACATGATTACAAAATTATTTTCAAATAAATAAGTCATAATTTTATGTGTCCATTTTTTATAAGACTATGAAATATTCAAGCATATTATTAGATAAAAAAAAGTAGCATCTTAGAGTTTGTAAGTAAATCTCATTTGTCTTCATTTTTTCTAGGTTCTAAATATTGAAAACTATAAAAGATTCTAGATCTCTAATCACTTCTACAAACCTTAATTTGTTATACTAATGTTTCTAAATTTTTCATATTATTTATCTCATATACTGTGCAATGATGATCTTATATTTTGTACCCTAGATTCTGATGTAGCACATAATTATCGATAAAAGATGGAGCCCAATATGACAAAAAGTTAGAGAGAGGACCTACTACTAGAGCTCAATCCAAGAGAGCGACCTCCTTAAAATACATCTAAGAAGTTAAATTATAAGAAGTCAGGCCAAAAGGAATACTTGAAAGCTAATTAGAAGATATTTTTTTATTTGGAAATATTTTATAAATAGTTATGTGTATTATATGTGGTTGTGTAAGATATGTAAGTTAAGGTGTTGATTTTTCACTTGGTGAGCTTAAATCATAGGAGTGTTGACCATAAGTCAAAATTTATGATTGAGAGTCATGTTACATGTGTAGAAGTTAAATTTAAGTAAAGGGGTTCAGCCATTAGGTGGTTATGGGAAGGGGTTGCCCACTCCCTCCTTCCCTCTTCATTTAAAAATGAAGGGATGCATCTTCTGCGGTGGTGTTATGTTTAAAAAGACCTTTATTTCTACATAATGAATGAAGTGTGATCTTGAAGACATTCTGGAGTGAGTTTTTATTACTCTTAATTTTCTTGGTGGTCAACTAAAATTTAGAAAATTCTGGATTGAATTTTAATAACTACTAGTTATTTATCAATTTCACCTATCCACATCATGTATTTATATCTTATCACATTTAGTCATTTTTTACCTTCTAGTCGTCTTATCTCACTCCTTCAAAAAAATTGACTATTAACTATCACATTAAAAAGACTAGTGTTTCTACTGAATGAATGAAGCATATATTTGAAGAAATTCTAGAGTGAGTCTCCCTTACTCCAGCTTTTCTTAGTGGTTGGCTAAAATTTGAAGAATTTGGTGATCCTTTATCCTTTAGTTACTTAGGTGAGCGAATAAACCTTATTCTTTGTGTATTTTATGCTTTCTTTAAAATTATGTTTGTTAGAGGTTTATGTATTGGCCTCTAATTTATGTTGATGTTAAATCATACACCCAAGTTTTAAAAAATTCCAAATAAAAAATCAACCTTAAGGTCAACAAAAAATTAAGGTTTCACTAACCTAATTTATGTTCAGACCCCTTTAAGACTCTATGTACTCCCCGAAAATTCTAAAAAATATTTTTTAGTTTTGTGCACATTTAACCAATCTCCCATAATTTTTTTTGGAATATTTTCACATCAAATGAAATTTAATGTGCGCTCTTAAAATCCTCTCCCAATTTTATTATGTACCTTCTATTTATCTACTTTTCTGTAAAAAAACCCTAACACCCAAGAAAATACTTGTGCAAGATTTTTTTAACTGTTTAGATTATATCTAGACTTCTAGAGCTTTCATTTGAATATAAATTAAAGTCATTTGTAGTTCATGATGAAAATTCTACTTTCTGGAAGTGAGTTAACACATTTTACCTAGAGACTAAATTTTGTTGTACCGGTCTTGAAATTAATTTCATGAAAAATATTGAGACAAATCAAAAAATTGTAGAACTCTCTAAAAACCAAAATAGACATCCTCTACTTTAATTTCTATTTATTTTCTTATTTTATGTTTATTGTGGAGAAATCTCAAAAGGCTTGAAGTTAAAGATTCTATTTTGGATAAAAACCCATGATCCTCTTTCTAGGCCACAAATACTATTATCCAAGTAAACCCACCTCATAATTTGAATAAAATACCCTTTCATATTCTTTTAGCATCTCAGAAAAGCCTTATTTCTTGTCAATTGACCATAATTGATCGCGCATATTAAACAAACCAAGTTTCCCAACATCTACAACTTTGTATTTTGATTTAGTCATCCTGATTACTCCAACCTTCAAAAATAGGGACTTTTAACCAGTGCTAGTTATTAATCGATTTCACCCATCCAAATCATGTTTGTACTTCTCGTCACATTTAGTCAATTACTAACGTTTAGTTGTCTTATCCCACTCCTTCAGAAAAATGACTATTAACTATCACATTTAGTTTTCATTAACTCCCAATCATATAGTTCCAATCATTTTAAGAATAATGTTATTTTAACCATCTTAAATTTATCTTCAAACCCTAAGTTATTCAATCTCTCCTTACATTAAGATATTGACTATCATGACTATATTTGTTATTGTTATCTACAAAAATACATCCATATTCCCTTCACCATTACCTCTAGGTGATGAAAATTAATTTTTTCTTCGATGGCATTAATAACATTACTGAACCATCTCATTGTTCCTTTAAGTCATGCTATCTCCACTTACAGGGAAAGATCGATAAAATCATCTTAAATGACATTTATAGCCTTTGCAGATACATTGTTAATCATCTTCAAATCACACTATTTCTACAATTAGCGGAATGATTCATGGCCTTCCATGGAGGTTCCCTCACCTTTTAGTGACACTAAAATGTGGCCATTATGTCTTATTATGATTATTTTGAAGAAGAAAATTGTCATGATATCTAATCTTGTAGTGTCCCTAACATGAAGGATATTTGCATCACAATAATTTCGCTTGCTCATGGATGGGTGACTAATCATAACTTACATTTATTACTAATAGAAGGCATTTTAATTATGCAAAGTTTCATTATATATATATATATTTTAATTTTTTTATGTAAGAGATTGTCCCTTATTTATTTTATTTATATTTTTTTTATTACATGTGTCATATCATTCATAACCAAGATAATAGATAACTTAATAAGTATTTTTTTCTCTAGTAACATGACTTACGGAACACACAAAATTATGAAGATCACATCATCTTCACCTAATCCCATGTGGCCTCTTATAGACTACCATCAATCCCCCTTACACCCGAAGGCCATGAAGAAGATTTGCATACATACCACCCAATTATTATGTATTTACACATTACACCAAAACTTAAATTTTATGTCACCTTACAAATAAAATTGTATATTTTGTTTTTCAAAAGTTTCAAATATGATATATTTATTATGATAAGAGAAGTTTATGCGATATAAATAAAAATAAATAAAATTTAAATATTAGATATGTAAATACATAGAAATTGGTGGAGAAATTGGGGGCATGTATTTGAACGCCCCAATTTTTTTTTTTTTTTAAAGATTGAGTTATTAAATACCATAAATTTGATTTATTTATTTTTACTTAGTACACAATTCTTATGTATTTATATATCACACCTTAAATTTTTATATTTACAAACGTAACACTCAAAATGTTTATATGAATAAAAAATTAACACAGTTTGTGAATACTTCAGATTTGTGCGCAACTTATGTAAATTCCCCTTTAAATAACATCATAATTCCATTAAATTTATTAAATAACAATATATATATATATATATATATATATATATATATATATATATATATATATACGTATATATGTATATATAATAAAAGGAAATTTACATTCATAGAACCGATTTTATTTGTATTTACGTATCATACACTCAGATTTTGATTTTTATGTATGAAATTGTAGATTTCAGTGTTTCATACTATGGAAATGTGTGAATTAGAAGTTAGATTTATAAAAATAAAAATTTTGATGTGAGATATGTATAGGGCTTTCAGAACAGCTCGTTGTTCAGGAACAACACGTGTTCGGCTCGTTCGCTAAGTTAACGAGCCGAACACGAACAAAAATGTTCATTCGTGTTTGGCTCGTTTTGGCTCGCTATATATATATATATATATATACATACATATTGATGAGTAATATCCTTAAAAAATTTAATTGACTACTAGGATACAAAGAATTATAATCAATTAAAAGTATTAATAAAAATTATTAAATTTGATTCAAATGATGTTTTAATATAAACAATATTTTTTAAATCTTACCCCAACCCTTAACATCTTATGACTTCGTGATTAAGATTGTCAAC